TGTGTGTGTGTGTGTGTGTGTGTGTGTGTGTGTGTGTGTGTGTGTGTGTGTGTGTGTGAGTGAGAGAGAGAAAACATGTCTGCAACAGCACCATCATTTGTCTAAAATAATAGTTAAAAACAATATTTATGTTATTTTAAATGTCAATTATAAAGATGAATTTGTTGATTTCAGAGGGAAAGTAACGCACAAAGACGTTGATGATCCTAAATGTTTTAAGGTATTTGTACATCAGTATGTACTTTGAAAGGGCAGCTGCTGTGTGTACAAGTTTTTAAAAAAGCAGAGCTACTGTGAAATCACCCCTAAACTTTTGGCACGCAGTCACGCGCTCCATGCGCACCTGCGCTGTGAAGGGCGTTCCCGGGCGCGTGTGCGCTCCTCCTTGCCAGGCGCAAGCCAGGCAGACGGCAGCGCGCGACGGACGGGCTGCAGCGACCTGTCTCTTTAAGTTGGTGTCAAAGCCGATTACCGCTGATCTCCGTCGTGATTCTGTTTTCACCGTCTGTTCTCTTTGCGTCTATTTCGGTTTTTGTGCGCTGCAGCGCGCGACGCAACGCTCGTAACGGCAACACTCCTGAGATAAAGTTGGGAGCATGGAGGCGTCGTGAGGTGTCTCCCGTGGCTCTGCGTGACGTGGAAAGCCCCCGTGTAACGTGTGCGGGGAGCTCGCGAAGGTGATGTGCGCCACGCGCCGCGGACTCTCCAACTTTTCCCACCATGCTAAGCCCGGATTAGTTCTCGTGAAACCTCCCGGGAGATGTGATGTGATGCCTCGGGTTACCGTTTGAAGTTGAAGCACCGAAACAAAACCGACACAAAAAAAGATTAAAATGCAGAAGGGCGTGCGGTACAACGAGGGCCACGCGCTCTATCTGTCGGTGGTCGCGCGTAAAGAGGGCTCCAAGCGCGGCTTCCTGAGCAAGAAGACCACGGAGAACAGCCGCTGGACCGAGAAGTTCTTCGCCCTCCACCAGAACGTGCTCTTCTACTTCGAGAACGACCAGAGCGCGAGGCCCTCCGGGATATACCTGCTGGAGGGGTGCACGTGCGAGCGTGCACCTGCGCCCAAGGTCTCCGCCATCAGCAAGGAGCCCCTGGAGAAACAGCAGGTGAGTCCCACTGAACTGTTCCGGGAGCAGTGAGACCCAGTGAGACCAGTTAACGAGGCTGCTGTTGGAAATGTTGTTTTCTTTTCTTGGGGCTTTATTGTGCTCTACTTTCAGCATCAATCTTTGTATTTTGTCCTTTTTTAAACTCTCTGCACTCAACATTAATAGTATTATTATCTCTTTAGCACAAACTCAGCTGTAACTCTGACTTAATTTAGTCATTTTAACAAAGAATGAAGCTGCAAGGAATCCTAAAAACAACAAAATGAAACATGTTCCTTTAATACTAAAGTTAAAGTAGACTCATACAGCAGAATAATAATGTAAGAAATACAACTATTATAAGTCTGTTTATATGTAAAGTGACATGTTTTTGTGCCTTTTTTGACAGCCTGCAGTATGACTTCATTCATCACTGAAAATATCAATAATTCAATTTAAACATTTTATAATGCAGACTTGCATTAGATAGTCACATCGTTTTCTCAGCTTGTCTCTATTTGATATATAAATGAACTTAACTTGCTGCATTCATGATAATTAACTAAATATTTGTATCAAAATAAGATTTCAAAATTTGAATTTTTTTGGCAATTTTGTGTCGACTGGCCAAACCAGTAATATAGAGTTCATCAGTCTTCTACTCCAGAACATTCAGGAACGTTTCTCACACCTTGTTGTTGCATCTGCGGCTTTACGGCTCTTAAACATCTGGATCATTAAACATCTGGATCATTAAACATCTGGATCATTAAACATCTGGATCATTAAACATCTGGATCATTAAACATCTGGATCGCCCCCTGGTGGCCGGCTGTTACTTTAGGAAGCGCTTGAAACGCAGCTGAGCGGAGCATTTTATACGTCAACATCGTAGTCGATCAAGTTCGTTTAACTGTGTGTTTAACATCATGATCGTGATCACTGTTCGATACATCGTTGATATATCTTTGGTCTTTTCTCGTTACTTTTTAAAGTTTTAAAAACAACACAGGATCCATCGGGTGTTCGTGACTCTTTTATAACTTTCCAAAGATCTCCAGTCTCTCCACATTTCCTCCAACATGAAGCCGATTCTGAACCTTTAGCACAGTTAAAACTGTCAATAGAGTTCTGAAATATCTCTTTTTTAAATCAGAGAAGAGTTTATACCTTCGTGTCTTCTCATATAAATGTCCTCCTTTAATCTTTATATTTCATTATAACTTCATTATAACATTATAACCGTTTCTCTTTCTCACGGAGGATATATGTTAAAACCCTCCGCGAGAGAGAAACGGGAGTTAGAATGAGATTGAAAGTACAAACAATCAATTCTCAATTTACAGAAATGCATACGACTCAAGTTGAGCAGAATCACAATCAAACATGGAGGCTGTGTCTCTGTCAGCTGGTAACAATCTGTAGATGTTTGGTTTTACTTTGCAAGTGTTTTTATTTTCCCATAATACATTGATGGTCGATATTTTTGAAACCCCAAATATTAAGTTTACTGTCATAGCAGAGAGAGAAAATCTGAACATATTCATTTAATGAGCAGCTGGAACTAAATATTTGCCATTTTAGCCTGAAAATGACTGTTTGAGTTGGTCGTTTAATTCTCCGTCTGTTGATCGATCGACTTGTGTTTTCATCTCTGAACTCGAGGTCCACTTGATCCTCCATGTTTTGTTTAAACTTCTCACGTCTATATTTAGCAATAGAAGATATTAACGTCCCATCATAAGCAGAATGTCCCGTCGACATGAAGAGCCTGAAGTTACTGTTGATGATTTAACTGTAAACACATCTTGTGAAAACATTTGTTGTGTGAAGCTAATTTTAAATGACCCATATTCCTCTTTTTTTTATTGCTGCTGTCGAGTCTGAAGATGTTTCATCATCAGCAGTCGTCACGTAGACGAGTCGTTGAAAGCTCATTTTCTGCTCCACACTCGGATCCTTCGTGGTTCCACTTTATTTCAGTTTTTAATACAAACTGGATTAAATCTGTCAGATCTAATCTTCTCATCGATACGCGGGTAATCTGTCTGTTGGACACAAGCTGCCTGTGACTCCCGTTGCTTTATTACAAAAAGAATCGGGAGAAGAAGCTTCTACCAAAAACCAAACCACATAAAATCTGTAACTTGACTTTCAGGCTGTTGAATATGCATAAATATCATGGTTTTAAAGTGTTCTTTCCTGAAGTAGAGAGTGAATGTTTGTGTTGATGTTTGTGTAACAGCTCAGCTGTGATCCTGTTGTCAGACGTAAAGGACTCAGAGGACACCACTGTCATCTGTTAGTCACACTGAAGCGTGCACACTTTCACTGAGCGGTCCATCTGCATCTCTTTGCACTCATGTTAAGTCTCTTTTTGGTAGTTGTGCGTCTCTATATGATGTCCCAACAAGAATTATTCAGCATACAAAGATATAAAACATCGAAAAACAGCACATTCTCACATTGGAGAAGCTTTTTACTCTTGATAAATTCATATTGGTTTTGCATCTGTTGTTGGTCGTTTTGCATCTCTTTGTACTCGCGTTGCGTCTCTTTTTGGTTGTTTTGCATCTCTTTGTACTCGCGTTGTGTCTCTTTTTGGTCGTTTT